CTTAGAGAGGGCTGAAAGCCCTATGAAGCGGTATATAAGTCTAACTGCTATTGCTATTGCTATATGGTCAGTTTTTACAGGAAATTGTTTCACTTAGCAACAGAAAAGTTGGGCGCAAATTGTGGTCATAAAACGAGGACTACCTGTTTACGTATAAAAATGATTGTACCTATGTTCTAGAGACGCAATGGCTCAGTGGCTAAGATGCTGAGCTTGTCGATCAGAAAGGTCGGCAGTTCAGCGGTTTGAATCCCTAGCACCGCGTAACGGAGTGAGCTCCCGTTACTTGTCCCAGCTTCTGCCAACCTAGCAGTTCGAAAGCGCGTAAAAAATGCAAGTAGAAAAATAGGAACCACCTTTGGTGGGAAGGGAACAATGTTCCGTGTGCCTTCGGGGGAGTTGAGTCATGCTGGCCACATGACCACGGAGACGTCTTCGGACAGTGCTGGCTCTTCGGTTTTGAAACGGAGATGAGCACCGCTCCCTAGAACAACTAGCACATATGCGCGAGGGGAATCTTTACCATTACCTATGTTCTATCTATTGTATCTAAGTTCTCCTGATTAGCCTATACCCAAATCATATTTCACAGGATGTTTTCTGCAGACTTCCAAATTCTACATAAATTCTGCAGAAATCAAAATTAGAACTTCAGTTTTCCGCCTTGACATTTCTAACTTCCTTGTACATTTGTAATGGTAATACTTACATTTAATCCTTCATATTTGGAAACATTTAACTCTTGCAAATTCATACACTGGCCTAAAAACAGGGGGGAAAAAAATCTGTTCTATGAAACCAATCTCCAACTGGGCAGTGCGAGAGATATAAAACAATATAAATTTCCCTTACTGAAAAGTATGACTAATCAAATTTGACCCGAGAAAGGTTTATATTACATTATTTAGAGGACGATCTATTTTAGGCATCAACAGTAGAAATTATTTAGTGTTAAGTTATTTAAGGGTACTTACCATAAATTGGATACAGATTTAGCTTGGCTTGGAGAAAGAGCAGCGAACGCCTATGCTATGCATTTTTTTCCCCTTGAGTGAATTTGCATATGTGTTCATTTAATTAAATCAATTGGAAAGAAAAAACACAACAGATTCCTCCAACAAAGTGAGTGTTCTAACCTAGGCTTCCTGATACAGTAAAAAGCACACGCTTAGTCCCAAAAACACTCTTTTTATTTCAAAGGCTGTTCATTCAAAGCCCGTAATGAGTCACAGTTTGTAAAGAGTCCGACAGAAGTCTGCCAAAGTCTTTCGGGATGATAAGCACCCGCCTTTATCTTCCCTGAAACGTTGCCAAGGCCCTAACTGGCAGTTAGCTTGCAAGGCCACACAGAGCAAAGAATCAAAACGGAGCTTCAGAATTTAAACTGACCAGCACGAACAAAGTTGCTTCCTGCAAAGGTTCATGGCCAATCACCTCCAAGCTTTACTTCCAAGTTGTCCCTTTTGTCTTAACTGTTCTTGCCTTCTGGCAGCTCTGCGCATGCACGCACTGGGAACACGCTCCCCCTGTTCTTCTGCCTCACTGATGTCAGAATCTGGAGGCTCTGGAGGCAGCACATAACTCCCAGATGGTCCTGGCCCCCCTCTCTGCCTCCAACACAGAGCCCTCATCCGAGCCTTCCCCAGACTCCAGGATTGGCCCATGTTCCTCCCCAACTTCCTCACTGTCCGACTCAGCTGCCAGCTCTGCAGGCTGCTGGGGGAGCACAACAGTGAGAAGATTTACCTTAATCAGGGGAAAAAGAATTAAAGGGACCGGTTGTGTGGAGAAAGGTTTTTCTGTGGACAAAAGGGGGTATGGCTTTGTGTGCTCCCCGCATCCCATGGATGGAGCTTTGGCGTTTTGAGTAGAGTAGAGTAGAGTAGAGTAGAGTAGAGTAGAGTAGAGTAGAGTAGAGTAGAGTAGAGTAGAGTAGAGT